GTGTGTGTGTGTGTGTTTATGCACCACCTGCTTGTGTCGCATACACTCCTAGGATTTTGAAATTTGTAATTCAATACACTATCCAAGTGGAAGAATTGAAGATGCGCAGAAAATATGCAGCGGTCGGGTTACATACAGAACACGGTGTATATGATGTCGGATGGAAAAATGAAAAACGTCTAATGAACTTTTTCATTGCGATCGCATTTATCTGAAGCTTCCATCAGGCTGTTCCTGTAAGTTGTTCATGTTACCTTAATCTGGTTTTCTGTCCCGCCATCGACATTGTTGACGTCTGGAATCCGCGCGTGATGCTTGTCGCAGCTCGATGATTTGACACGCTTGCTAACAATTTACGTAGGTGCATCATAATTTGCTCAAGTCTTTGTCTAGGCGCGCCAAGTGTCGGAGATGATATAGATGGTCTATATAGTATAATAGAACTGTACAATTTTAGACTGAGCTGAACTTCATCTACGTCGCATTTATTTTATTTATTTTAGAGAATATAAATACATCCACATTTTATTTGTACCCTCTCTGACTCTCTCTCGCTGAGAGAGACCGCCTGGGGAGGGGTTCTGGCTGGTGGGGTACACCTGGCGGCTGGCACCTGGACTCATTGGTGATTGGTGACTCGGTTGTATTTATTTATTGTTATTTATTTTTAGACCGCGTACACAAACATATTTAAATATAGTCAGACATAGCCTACTTTTTTTTAACAAGACAAATAAAAAACAAAGTAGATTAGCGTACAACCGTACTCAGCTGTGAGCTGTCCGTACATAGAAAGCCTTCTCAAATTTGAAATTGACCAAATATTTATGTCTAATGACTCCCGCCAGACTCCCACAGAGGTGAGAGAGCCTGCCCCAAAAATGGGGCCTTTGATGCCAAAAATTCAGACCGGGTCACCGGGGGCCAAATTTTATTTTTATTTTTTGTGTTTATATTTATAAATATGGGGTGATGAGTTGGAGAACACCAAATAACCCGTCATCATCGATTCATTTGACATCCGCATGAACTCGTCTTGAGAGTCGTATACAATAAGCGGCTTTTATTTACGTGTATGTGTACATATGCAAAATATACGCATCATCTATATTAGGATTGATGATTGAGGACTGGTGGTGTCTAATATCATCCACAACGTCAACGATTCCTTGAAGAAGTACGCTTGGAGTATCTATTGGAATTGCACTGGGTTGCTTCGCCCAATAAAACAGATAGCTATATCAGCACAATGCAGGTAATATCCCCTGTCGGTTCTTATAGAAAGCGTGTTCGTTCGGTGGCTCCTATGTGTAATAAATACTGAAGTATCACATGCGCTATCATCGTATGTATCTATAGCAATGCTTAAATTTATGTACGTCCCTGTCCGGCGTGATATCAATATGCTGGATGGTAGGAACTACATCTATGCCTGCACCTTGCGGTACGCTATCCGTGTGCGTGATATACTAAAGCATGATATCAGTAAGAACTTGGCCGTTCTATATCAGCCAGTCTATTCCTATTTATTGATATAATGTACTTCCTCGTGCAACATACATATTCGAGCGTATTGTATTGTCGAAAACCTCCATATTAGCAAGTATGGAAGTGCCTCACTTGCGATATACATATTGAATATATATATATATATATATATATATATATGTGTGTGTGTGTGTGTGTGTGTGTTGTGTGTGTG